AGTATCATATTGCGCTACACGAATTATATTTGCGTTTGGATGCACTTCGATTTGGTAAACGATGTCGATACAATATATCATCAGTCTTTATGATTATCCTACAACATATGTGTTTCCCGGTCAGAAAACGTGTCATCAGTACTATAGCAAATAGTAGACGAATCTTTGAACCGAATACACGCCAGGCAGCTTCATTGAAACTGATAAACCGGCCAATTTGGTAATTCGATATTACATAATTTTTATTTCGTGGAGGAGCATTTAGATTAGTATTTTTAATTCCAAATTCACTTCCTTTATATAAAAACTATCATAATATAATAGTAAACAGATGACGATTATAGATCAGGTAGTATAAGGCTGAAAATTAGAATTGTATCTATTTCTCTATTCTCAATCATATAATAATCAAAACAAAAAATTTTGTCCAGAAAATTAAAAAATAATAATATTTGGTCTGGACCACCCTAAACATTTAGCGGTATAAAAAATAGATGTTGGCCGATTGTCAGATGTACCCGATAAGCACACCAAATTTCATAAAAATCGGTCTAGCCGTTTCGGAGAAGTTTTTCAACAAGCATTGTGACATGAGAATTTTATATATTATATTTATTAGATAACTCACACGTTGAACGACATGTTGGGCATATGGTTTGTTAAAATAACGACAATAAATATATGTATGTAGTATTTGAAAATTGGGGTACTTCGTAGAATAAATTTCCAAATTTTCGGCATTAAACTATAGTACTTGTATATTTAATATTGTACGTTAAGGTATAGTAATATCCAATATTATATGTTCAGTCAAATTTGCTTATACTATGTTAGCACCGACACAAAATTCGTGTTTTCATAGACAAAAGAGGTTTTCACGCGAAAACTTGTGTTTTCATCCATACAAAATCTGTCTAACGAAAACACAGTTTTCGCTGAAAACATACATTCCACTCATTATAATCGGTGCCTGCTCTAGTTTAATCGATATTATTAGAATACATATTTTGCCAGCCCTAAATGTCAGTTGACAATTTGTTTACATTCCATAATTGGCAAACGTATCCTACAAGAAACTGCTGATGGGTTCACCAATACACTCACATTTGATATGTCAGTAATGTTAATTTACATTTGCATTTTTAAATTCAGAACTATCCACTGATTGGAGAAAGACGTACGCAGAGCTATTGAGAGGAGGAGATGGCATCAAGTGAAACTTTATTTTTATATTTTCATATTTTATTATGCTTTTTGTTGCATTCCTTTTTATATTTAAGTATATTATTATAACTAATTTTGATTAAAAGTTTGAAATTTATTAAAGAAATACAAATTATATTATCTACTGCGCAAAAGAATTTTTCACTTCTGATAGCATTTCAGTCATAACTGACAATTTTCAGCTATGACGGATTTATGGTCAGCAAAGACTCAGAAAAAACAAAACAAACAAACGAAAAGAAAACAAGGATCTTAAGAGAATGATAGAAACCTTGTTCTGCGCGCTGACAAAACTTTTTCAGCTATGACTGTCATATTACCCATCAGATGACCGTCACTGTTCCTGTAGGGTACATAACAAATGTAAACTAATAGATGTGTGAACTGTCAATCGAAACTCATCGAAAACACACAACGTCGGTGAAAACGACTTTGGTTCCACAATCCATAAATTGTGTTTAAAAGAGGATTACAATTCGGTGCGAACATAGTATTAGATATTTTTCATACAATTATTGACTGATATATGTACATATAATATATGGCAAAGTTTTTCTTTCCTTGTTTCGGTACGAAGATACTTGTATATGCTAGCAACTCGATGAGACAGGAGATCTGCACCAGTCTGTACTAGTTGAGCGGGAAATATACCATCCATTCCGGCTGCCTTAATTTGAAACTACTAAACGCTTTGGTAGCCATTTCTTGGGTGAACACGGGACCGTCATCCTGCCTGGGTATTATGACAGGTTGAATTAAATTTTTTTTAAATTTTCGCACCACTACGTTGTCTACTTGACCACATTATAAGCGCCACGAGTTACGTTTTGCTTTTGTGTTTGTATTCGCGAAATGTAGCCTTATTAAAGGCCCCGCGAGAGTTCCATCTACGGTTCTTAATTTTCCCATACATCCATGGTTTGTCTGTGGTGGAACCCGCCCTTCTGAGGGGCATGCTGTTTCAAAAGGACCAATAATGCACTGTGTGACTTTTTCTACTGTCTATATCTAACGCAGAACTTATCTTGTCATGTACTGTGGGTGTACCTATGGTGCGACCCAGTTCGGTCACATATGTGTTCCGGTTCGTTTTGGACTTATTCCTGTACTTCGGTAGCTGTGGTCGGAAAAGTAGTGCTCTAAAGAGACTTGCAAATCCGATACTAGGTCTGCCGTGCTTCCCTCCTACGCTTTTTTATAAATGTGGGTGTATACCTGCATATATTTATAGTTAGTATGTCTTTGGAATTAATGTAGTCGAACAGCGACATTCCTCTAGCATGCCATTGGCATAAAAAATTTTAAGTTTGACTGAGCCGTGTTTAGTAATCTGGCCCTCAAAGGTGCTGGGTTCCTAAGTAAGAGCTATCTTAAACTTACCTTTTACCAGTTTGTAGACCAGGTGTGTTTATCTGCGTGATTAGCAGAGATTGGACGCTGGGCTACTCAGGAGTCTTCATCATAAGAGTCAGCCGTGACCCAGCAACCATTTCTGCGTCGTACCCAGTTTTCTGGCCCGACGCGCAACTTGGAATCCACACCACCCTCTTTTGGCGCACATGAAGACATGGCTCCCAGATGTTCTTCGGTGGACGTTTTGCCGATGGCAGTGCCATCTGCCTCCTCGCACACGCCTTTTCAGAGCACCCAGGGTCAGGGGTGCAACTCTCCGGAGGAGGTGCTGTCACAACCTGATGGTGGCCAACCCTAAAGGGGACGGTGGAGAATATAAGCTGAGCCCTGCCACTTACAGACTCTAAAAATGAGTACGAGTCTTTAGTATCGATTCGACAAAGATGTGCCTGCCACTTACAGACTCTAAAAATGAGTACGAGTCTTCAGTATTCCTTGGATATTACAGCAACCCTACCCCTGACAAAGATGTGCTATTTCAGGAGTTTAGGGACCTCGTCGTCCAACGTCTTCTACGGACTTGATGACCAACCTCATCACTGGTAATTTTCTTCTTGCTAGTACCTGAAACTGAGGGCCCATTACTGTCCCGCCCAGTCGATCCCTTGTAAGGGGCATGATACTTTCGCTCTTTTTGACCTTTGGTAACCTCTGGAGTTCGAAGTCGTTTACCTGATTCCGGAGGTTTTTTATTTTCGGTCCGCTGTCCTGCGGGTTGGATCCGGGAGTCGCTACCCGTTGTTTGCGGGCTACGCGTATAGCGGCCTTGAAGCGTTTGCCAGTCTGCCGGACAAGGTTTCCATCTTCCATCGAAATGGTATTTGGCAAACTTTTTCGTTAGCCTGTGAGTGGGGTTGATACCTCCAGAATCCGTGACCCTGTCACAGCCGAAGCTTGGGGTAGATTATCACTTACGTGGGTGTTACCTGGAGAATTAATATATTTTTTGTCACCGTCGCTCATATTGGTTTAGTTGTATTTCAACCATACGCTAAACGTGGATGGGTCTTTCAGAGGGTATTGTTCGCTTTTTCCTCCTATTTCCCGAAATGCTTACTAGAAGCCATTCCAACCTTCCTCCTTTCCCAACACGGGCTTGGGACCGGCTAATTGGCGGAATACGTCAAAACTATTAGAGGGAAGGGCTACGTCCACTTTAAAAAAAAATGTAAACTGAAGATGCCCCTAGTAATGCGATTCGTTGTACTACATAACAGTCCTTTGTCTTATTGTGGAACTTAGTTATGGCATTTATTGGTTTTAGATTAATGATGGTTTGTGGACATGGCAATGCTCCGGTTACACCCATCTACAATATCAACCTTCTTATGGTACCAAGAAACATGTTTACCAAGTTTCATCAAGATATCTCAATTTTCACTTAAGTTACAGCTTGCAAAAACGGACGGACGGACGTACATATATACTCCTTTATCTAACTCGATTTGTTAGGTGAACAATTATATTCTGTAGCAACATGTTGCAAAAGTATAAAAATGCAGCTTATACTGAAGGTCGTAGACTTACTTAGTTTTATTACTATATTTTACTTCCAGTCAACGAAAATTGTACTCAAAATATTCTCATATGAGATAAAAACTCAGCCGAGGAGGCTAACTTTAATATACTTAGTTGATGTGAAAAACGGCAATCAAAGGATCAGAATTCATTATGTTAGAGCATTTATATTGAGCACCAAACCATTAATATAATTTTATAACTTGTCCACTTAATAGAAATATCATACATTTTGACCAACCTAAACGAAATCATCAAATAGGATATATTGGGGGCAGAGAAATAGATGTACTGATTGTCTTAATTTTTGATATTGCTCAGGTATACTTGAGAACTTCAAGCAATTTTATAAATTTATACATATTATATATATACCATAAACATATATAATATATGGGGTAAAGTCAGCCGGATGTTTCAAAGTCCTGAATATCAGTTATATGGGGGCTAAGGTAAGTTTTCACCCGACTTGATCCATTTTAAGTAGAAATACGATATACATATGTGGTATTGGGATGGAACCGGCGCAAAAAAAGTCGATTTTTTGATTTGATTCAAAGTCGGTTAATAATTATCATAAAAGTCGACTTTTCGATTCTCAAGTCGACTATTTAGAACAAACACTAACTACATATTCAAGTTCTGGTCAAAGATATTTGACAAGTTCTATTTGACGTATTTCTTTATTGCTATAATAAGTTATTATATTTATTTATTAATCGTTTTCAAATTATATTTAAACAGTTTACACAAAAGTATTTAATATTTTTAAAAAATTTGTATTCTTTGTAAAAATTGCACGTAGTAGGGCACCGAAAATTAATTTGTAGTATTGAAGTTAAGTATTAAAGTTACAATTAAATATATATTTACTATTAATTATTAATATAATATGAAAATATTAGTTTAGAGCTTAGTAAGGTAGCCATGTGACATAGAAATTTAAAAAGATAAGATTCCCACATGTCTTCGTTAATTGATCAATGAAACCAGCATGGGAAAATAATCTTTCGCAGGGTACAATTGTTAGAAATTTCCTCGATACATTCCATAAGTGAGGATACTCATTTTAATTGATTTCCAAAAAACAAGTGGATAAGGGCCTTGTAGTCGTGCCACAACTAAACGATTTAAATACTGACGTAACTGTATCGGAAATCCTCCCGCTTCATCAATATCTGCTTGAGACTGGTTTCGTTTGACAGCTTCATCGAAATATGACCAGTTATCATCGCCTTTTTCGTCTTTTTGAGATTCTTCAAGCGATAGGCTTCAATAACTGGAGTAACTTCTTCATCGTCAAGTATTACAGAAGAATCCGTTGCCTGTAATGCTACCTTTCTCTCAATCCTAACCAGATCGCCTGATAATGAAAATAAAATGAAAAAGGAAATTAATTTATGGATATAGTTTACTATTATTTGAAATTAGTAAATAAAATCTCCAACGAGTAGATTCTCGAATACTATAGAAGGCGCACTTCAACCAATTTCACCGATTCAATGCTTCCATATATATTTTCAATTTCTTAAGTGAGTTTTTGTTTGTAATTTTCGACCTAATACAGTGGATGGCTTAAAATCTTCAGTTTTCTGTCAAATATAAATTTTATTGTAATTAAAAAGGAATCAAAGTAAATGTAACATGCAACAATCAAAATAATTTTAATCAAACTTCCTTTTTCAAGACCAGCAATCAAAGGGATACATTTATTTAATGTAACATTTTTTTCGGAGCAAACTTCTTGCGTAACTTTACAAACAGGACTTAAGACATCGCGAATTTTAATTAAATATTCAAGCTCATCTCCTGTAATCATATTAGGAGGCTTAGCTTTTGACGATTTGTCCAATTTAATCTGAAGAAGTACCTATTAAACATAGTCGGCAAGTAAAATAAAACGATTAACCATTTCATAACACGAATTCCATCTTGTCTTTACCTCCTGTATAAGTTTAAGACGCTTTAATTCTGGTAACTTGTTTTGTAAGTGCAACAACTCAGTTGTAGCTCTTTCACTGTGTCTAAAAAATATTATAATTTTTTTAACTTTTGTCAACAGATCACGTAATGTTTTTTGCTCAGTAGTTTTTTCAGGGTCTAAAATGTTTGAATCATCAATAATATCGTCTTCATATAAAGGAAGTTTGATCTTCAGATTCAGATCCTGGTGGGGTTACATTTATGTCAATCAGTCTTTGTCCAATATTGTTGATGACATGTCCAATACACGAAATGTGTTTTTGAATGTCGAATTCACTTTTATTGGCTCCCTTAATATTAGATCCTCCGTCAGAAAAAAATGCAGCTTTTTTCGCATCACTTAGACCCCAGGCATAACATATTTCTCTTAATTTAGACGTCAAATTTTCAATCGTTTTACGCTCTTTCAAATGATAAGCGCTTAGCTCAAAGTTTTTCATTCAAACTCCTTATAAAAATAACAGATGAAACGCTTTGAATCCCACTCTTTCTGGAGTTGATAACGGCATATTATCAATAGCGATCATGCGAACAAGAGCTGTTGATACTTGGTTATGTTTCCAACCTCCAGCTGATAAGTGACAAATAATATATTTATTAGTCAATAATTTATTTCTTTAACTCATGTCGAAAAATTAAACTATTGAATACCGACAAAAGAAGTAGATATATTTATACAGCGATCATGAGGCCCCTGATAAGTATTAAGTTTGAGTAAGGAAGTTGACTGAAAAGAAGAGTGCTTTTATTTTCTATAGAAAGCAGGTAATTCAATAGCCACCAAAGCCTAGAAAGAAAATAAACTCTAATTTTTCAGAAAAAAAAAATTACAGATAGAAATAATCTATAATCCGTTTGATAAATTTTAAATAAAATCATCAATCTAAGTAAATATAACTAATTACCTTTTTACTTTGAATCATTAAATCTGTTTCTACACCGTTTGGTCTTTTCCGTGAGTCTCTTTGTTTGTTCATACATTTTATGAGATGTATGCAGGTTTTTCATCATAGTTGGTGTGCTATTAAATAGAAATTCTTTTTTTACAAATATTACACTTAACTTTATTGCCGTTGTCGGTTTTGGAACAATAACTCCAGATAAAACTAGGAGCCATAACTGTACAATTATAATATCATGTAGGTTTCAAATTAAAATTTGATTTTTGCTCACTGAGGGTACACACTGATTATAAATATATGGAAATGATTGGTGTCGGTTATACTAATTTAAAATGGTTACCAAGAATACCAGCGATGATATTTATTTTTATGATCCAATCAGCAACCAGCTTCTCAGTTTCTAATACAATGCAAACAAGTGCAAGGAAGACAACTTGAGTAACTTTTTACAACTTTCACTATACTACCATAACAACTGTTTAAGAAAAAGTCGAAGTCATCGAGTGAGAATCGACTTTTATCGACTGGAGACATGTTCAACTCGACTCTAAAAAGTCGATTATTTTCATTAAAAGATCGATTCTTGACTAAAGTCAGAGTCGACTTTCTTATCCCTGGTTTCCACATATTTCTCGTCTGAGTTCTTAAAAATTTATAGTTCGATTTCCACAATTTTTAGGCGTAAGATGATATACTTTACACAAAAAATTTTTTATCCGGATACGTTGTAAAAGAATTAGATGGATACAAGTAAAAGAATGAGATGGAATTTAATGTAGAAATGTCAGGGTAATATTACGTACCAAATTTGTTTGAAATCGGTCTAGTATATTGGTTTCGAGATATGGACTTCCTTCTAAATGTGGGCGGTGCCACGCCCATCGTCCAAATTTGCATCTACTCCTATAAAACTCTCTCGTTCCATCTCAGGTGTAAAAATGTTATAAGGGTAGAAGGCGGGATTATAATTCGATTTCATCAATTTTCTCACTGACGGTAGAGGTTCTTAAAGAATTTGTTATAAGCGAATTTGGTTGTTGTAGATTGAGTGGTTTAGGAGATATGTACATTGAAACTATCAGAGGACGGGACCACGCCCATTTTTTCAAAATGTTTAGCCCACAGATGATCCTTACTACTGAAATCCGCTGTAAAAAAAGTACAGCTTTATATCTTAATTAAGTGTCATCAGATATCTCAATTTTTACTCAAGTTACAGCTTGCACGGACAGAAACTCATCTCGTCATCCTGATGATTTATATAGTGTATAGTAGAGAAGTAAAATGTAGCAGTGGTGAAACGGCGTAAAAGAGAAGAAGAAGTGTTTTTCAGCGATCCAAGGGTTGAGCAGCGCAAAACGGCACGAATTGCAAAACGGCGCAACGGTAACGTCCCTTGTTCTGCAGACTTTTCAACGGCACCACAGCGAAATATGAACGTCTTACGAAATAAGACAAACGAAGTATTTGCAACGCGCGCAAATCAACAAACAGTACATTGATTCTCATACGTACAGCGTGCAAGTTCAGACACGCAACAACAAAGGACAGGCATTTTTGCACACAACGATTAAGCAGAAGAAAATTAGCAAGCTCGAACGTGCAACGCGAACTTCTCTGCTTATAAAATATCAACTGCGCTGCTACGAAGTTGTGAACCGAAGCGGCGAAACGACGCCAATTCACCGTCACTACATCAGCGAGTTAACGGATAAAATTTTAAGAGAAATACATACGCAACGTATTAGCGGGTGCAAGCATCTGGTAAGAAGAGAGAGCAAGAACACAAAAACAAGAAAGTGAAACGAAACATCAATATCGAGTACGAGTAAGGCGACGTTAGAAGAGCAACGAGTTAGAAGCTCAAAACAAAAGACGCAAGATGAACAAATTAAATACGCTAAAGGTCAGTCAGCTTAATACACTTCTAAGAGCAAACGATTTACCACTGACGGGTACCAAGGCAATCAAGTTATCAAAACTGCAAGAGGTTCTAGGTGCCGACGAAGTAGACGCAATCGAGATTGAAGATGAAAGTTCCAGTCCTACAAGTGATCTACAAGTGCAAATCAACAGTTTAAGAGAAGCAATCGCAGGTTTAACGTCAGCTATGGCGGCGATCACCCAAAATTCAACAGCGGTACCGAATAGGGAGAAAATTCAACAAGCTGCAATCAACAACGACTTAGAGTCACCAGGGTCAAATGTATCAACTTGGGAATCAGCTCACGATTTAAGAAGACCAATACAGCGAGAGATGTCGATTTGGGATATGATTTAAAGCGGATGTTCCAACAACGCACAATGCAGCGGAGATTCATAATTTGCTTATGAAACGCAAACGTAAAAACGGCGAAGACTATGAAGAGTATTTTTACTCTATGCTAACCATAGGTAGGCAAGGTAGGGTGGATGACGTATCTATCAACATGCACATCATCAGCGGTCTCAATGATAGCGCATTAACTAAGCCATTAGCAACGATGAATTTTACAACGTGTAGTGAACTCTTGGTTGCATTAAAGAATTTATCAGCAATCAGTAGTGCATCGGTAACATCAATACCACCAAACCAGCCAACGAAGACCGAAATTAAATACAATGGGAAGTACACAAATAAAGTGCTTCAATTGCAACGAGTAGGACACATGGCAGCCAAGTGGCCGCAACCACAAAGGAAACTACGATGCACAGATATGTTCAAAATGGGTCATGAAGCTAAAACATGCAGTAAAAGGCATCAGTTGTAAAGATTACCAATCACCAGGAAGACGACGGGGCTCCTCCAGTTATGAAAATAGTGGAGCTTAATGGGAATAAACTTGAAACGTACATCGATACTGGCAGCGTATGCTCGTTGATACGGGAAACGGCAGCCAACGGGATGCAGACTCAGGAAGCTAACAGATGCTGGTGCAGAATAGTAAATGGAAAGGGTGCTACATCTACAAGAAGCTAAAGGGTAGACCTTAACGTATCCAGCAATTTATCGGAGCAGGAACGAGGCAAGGCAATGAATATTTGTTGGCTTATAAAAATTGTTTTGCAGAAAGTATCAACCAAACCGATAGATGCAACAATGCGCATATGACGATAGAAGTTACTGTACCAGTGCCTATTCTGGGCAAACGTTATCAAGTTCCGTTCCACAGCGACCAATGTTATCAAAGTTTTAAAGGAACTGCTAGACAACGACACCATCCGTCAGGTAATTCACCACACGCAGCATCAGTTCTCTTAGTGAAGAAGTCCAACGGCGAAACGAATATTTATTGACTACCGAGCACTCAATGAAGTCACTGTTAAGAAAACTATGTAATGCCGATAGTCGAAGAGCAACTTTCACGGTTATCGGGCAATAAGTTCTTTCAAGACTGGACATGACATCCGGTTACCATCAAGTACCAATGAACGAAGAATCAAAGAAATTCACAGCATTTTAACACCTGAAGATTGTTCGAGCATAACGTCATGCCTTTTGGGTTGGTAAACGCTCCCATGGTTTTCCAGGAAATTATTGTCAGTTTAATCAAGACTTAAGCATCGGGACAAAGTGGTCAACTATGTAGATGAGGTCATCATGCCAAAAAACAGTCACGAAGGTATCGAG